TGTGCGGGCAGCTGACTTAAGAGGTTTACCTGTTCTGGACAGATTTTCAATGTTAGTTTGTAATAACTTCATCAGCTCGGTGGTTCTGCAAACCTTCAGCATAGCCGTGATTAGACAAGCTTTCCTGTCCCACAACAGACTCAACTGCATCAATAACCTGTCTTCCCAGTGAGGGAAGGGCTGATTTTTCTCCTTCTGACATGTTTTAAAAATCAAAAATGACCTTTCACCAAAATGAATGTAATGAACAGAAAAATCCGCAAGATGGCGGCTGAGCACCGATGGTGGGTACGGGCGGGGGTGCTGATGTCACCGTGTCTCTGCCCGGCACTCTCAAAATGGCGGTGAGTCGATGACGTCACCAGGAAGTTTTAAACACAAAAGTGAATAAAACACCGCTAAAACTGCACAAACTGGGTTCGGAGTTTTACTCTTAGGCGTAGCGGATTTTGAGACACAGAAACGCTGCGTCAAAACGGCTTGACAGGTTGTCGGGACGCGTATACCGACTGTTACCGGGTCCACTAGTTAGCATTGTTATGCTAACTAGCGGGGCCTGGCGCTTACAGGCTTTGACGGTCCAATCCAGCCGGAATTGGACAGTCCAAGTAACTAAAATGTCCGTGTGCGTTGTCAGTATATTCGGACTCTAGCGTTTGCAGTTTGTGTTTGCAGAGACGCTCTTCCGTGTTAAGCTTAGTCATTAGCGGCTTAATGTTAGTAAACTCAACCGGATTGATAACCGGGAGGATCAAGATTGCTATCGAGGGAAGCGGACTTCCAGCGGGGATATTTCTATATCTCCATTACACAATAAATTGTACACAATGCCACGTACACTCAAAAAAGGACATGGAAATACAGTATTTACCTTAAAGAAGCAGGAAATCCTTCATTGCTAACTCAAAATGACTGCCGTATGCCACGTCAGCCTTAGGATGATTTGAGATGAAACAGCGCCTCCTGTGGAGGATGACTGGCGTCAACCCCCCTTTTCTTTAAATGGAGATGCTGCTCTCTGGTGATGGATTACGGGACCGCCTCATTCTCAAACCAGGAACATCAACTTTTTTTTTATCAATCAATCAATCAATCATTCAAAGCTTTATTTATAAAGCGCCTTCCGCAACCCTGCCAGGAAGCCCAAAGCGCTGAATTTTAAAGAGTTTTAACTGTCTAAATATGTCTCAGACTTAGCACAAAGTGTCCAAAAAATTTGCAAATATCGGGCTGGCTCACCATTATGTAATGAGTGTTAATTACAATTAATTAAGGACCACAAGACATTAAAATTTCATATCTAGTATGAAATCCATCTTGCAGACCACTGGTTTATTTAATCAGAAGATTGGATCTTTTTAAGACAGGGATTTAGATGACACCTTGTAATAACTTAGAGACAAGAGAAGAGAGAGAGACCTTCAAACGTTTAAGATGGTTTATTACTAAATAATTTTAAACAATTTAAACAAGACTAACTCTCTAATGATGGATGTTCTGTTTGAATGAGGTGTGAGATGGTTGGTGTGTGTGTGAATGAGTGTTATTCAGAACCCTCGCATCCGGAGAAACAAAGTCTGAGTGGGAGATGATGTTTTGCTCCTAATTTATCAGAGTTTGAGACTGGTAGTCATTAACACATGAGACGCCATTTATGTCACATCCACATACCCTCAGTGAGACCTCCAACGATGGATCCAGAATGCCAGGTCCTCGGACATTCCTTCCGGTACTGGAGCTGATGACACAGCGTCACAGCACGACAAACTAGTCCTTGGATAGTCTCCAGGTAAAAAGCGACAGGTGGTTAACAGCGTCAAAAAGGGGACCCTCCTTGGGTCAGCGAGTTCAACTTTTATTCTGAAAGGTACCGTTGCTTGGCTGGTAACAAACAACAGAATTTTCCCAGCTTGATGGTTTTCAGCTTAAAAAGAGAAGTACAGAATGGCAGGTCCATTGTTTCACTTAGCATGCGGTGAACTTCATGGGACCTTGAGAACTGAACTTAAGATGGCGTTGGAACTGTTTTATTAATCTGGATGTTTTTGATTCTGGACGAATCAAAGCTGACAGATTTATAAACCGCACAGAGACTCTGCCACGCTTCAGACTAGGAAGGTTCTGATTGGATCAGTACAGCAATGTGTCATGTGATTGGTTTCCTTACGTGTGTCAGTGTGTCTAGTGAACTAGATTAAGTCATATTACTTATCAAAACATATTAATCATGATATTGTGATTTCACAGATCGGTCACATTGTATTATTGACTAACAGTTGTTTTGATTAGCTTTATTGAAAATAGAGTTCTTTGATTTAATAAAAGAAAAGTCTCTTCATCTTCTGTTTTCATTGCTGCAAAGTAAACAGTTTAGAAGCAAATGCATGACCTTGAGGCTGTTTCATGCACTCTGGCGTTGTGTCAAAAGCAACTGTGGAAAAGGTTAAATAACCTTGAGGAATAACTCCTTCATCACGTTACAGTAGCTACTGTATACTTCAAATATATTTGTTGCAAAAAACAAATCAATAGTTAGTCTGGCAAGCCACCCTATAGATGTAAATATGTAGTTTGGCCACAACTCACTAACTGCCCTCAGATGTGGGATGGGATTTAAGCTTGTCTTTCAAAATGCCTCGGTATGCTATTGGACAACAAACAACGTGACATACTTACCGCCTAAGATCTCAGTCAACAGAGCAGGGCGCCAAACACCACTGAAGAAGAAGACGCAAATACAACCTTTTTCTAAATACAGGTTTTAAGTACCTCCATCTTCTCTTAAATCAAAACAATGAAAAATAAACCAGATCTAAACACTGCTGTGTTAATTTGTAACTGGAAGTGTCTAACACCCCTCCCCAACTGGCTCATGCAACCAGCCTACCGATGTCCTTTGGATTAAAACTCTAAGTTTGTCAGTCGGTGTGCATTTAATCAAGCAGGACTGTTAATTGTGCATGCTCGTCAATGTTTCATCAAATGCCTTTAAACTACTTTCTTGTTGAGCAGACCAGGAGAAACACAGTCATTTTGTATTTTAGGTATTTCCACGGAAGATAAAGAAACGTTTGAGCTGAACGTGAGAGATAAAAGGTCACAGTCACAAATAAAACCTTGAAAGTTTCTGTTTAATTTAAATAGATGTCATCACCAGCAGTCGGTGGATTAAAACTTGCTAGAAAGCTGTTATTGCACAGGAATCAGCAATAAATAGCAGCTCAACAGTAGCACGAGTGCACATCATTATATTTTCATCAGGTTGAGCAGCTTTATCTTCACTTCTGCAGACTTTCCACTCCTACGCAGCATGTGTGTCTGCTTTGCTCCACACAGCCGGGCAAATAATGCTTTTTAAACTAAAATATGCATTCACGTGTAGAGGTTTTTAAATGGACTACATCTGCCAATACAATGTGATCAACCCATCCAAAGGGTTACCTCAAGGCTCTTAAAACTTGAGTTGCATGCAGTAACAGTCATTACCTTGTCATCTTCTACATCATTGCATCATGTACTACAGACTCAAGTATTTTCTGCAAAGCTCCACTTTCTAAGGAACGTTATTTTTTAAAAGCCTTATACAGTTGGGCTAAAACTGAAAAATAAACCGCAGTGCAGATCGGTTAAAAAAAGGTATCTGTTTCAGTCGGTGTGAGATGCTGCAATCTGTGATTTAATAAAACAAAATACGGGCTGGACTCACTCATGGCCCTGAATGCAGCATTCTCAGAGAAAATTACAGCATTCTCTTAAACGTTTTGTTTACATCCATGCCAATCTTAGCTAAAGCTCCTGATGCTGAGTCACTGAAGTGATGCTGGTTGCTAATTGTAACTCATCCAGTTGCAGTCAAACGGACAGGATGAGAGAAACATAATAGTGAAACAATGCAAGGATGAAAACACTCATACAGATACTGAGATACCGTACTTCTACAATGCCTTAAACTATGTAGTGGTAAAAGTTTAATGTTTTCCTGTTTGTAAAATAAAATAAACTGTTGTTGAAAATTGAAGCCAAAATGTCTTGTTTTCAAGTGCAGCTATTATAGATTTTGGGAACCAGAATTGTGCAACAATCATGTTTTTGTTAAGGATTCAAATAACTAATTTTACTGATACATATTACAAAGAATCAACATGAATTAATATTCTAAAATCCTACTTAAAACAGAAAACCAAAGTTTGTTCACCATCTAGTGGCGGTATTGTATTGCACCTTAAGCCCCCCTCCCTACATCCATGATTACTGGAAGCAACACCTCTCATTTGTGAAGAGCTCTAGCTAAAACACATTGTTTTCCAATTATTATTGTCACATTATAGCCTGACAAGACATCCTATTGGTTCCAGCACGCTTCCTGCTTGTTCTAGATCATGAACACAGCTGATTTGTTTAATTTAGCGATGAATCAATCACCAATGAAGGCTGAGGAGACCTTTCAGCTGTTAGATCAAGGTGTTAAAAATACGAATGAACAGCAAGGAGAAAAGTTTTGCTTTCGGTTTGACCACAGAGAATTAATAACAGACACTAGGGGATACTAAAAGCAAGCAAAGCTGTCAAGTGTGCCTTTAAAGCACATTACTATTTTCTTTTAGCATTTATACTTGCAACATCTTCTAATCATTCTAATATTACTATTAGCTGTGTTGTGTGGTAGAAAGATGTGGAATAAAATATTGCCTGCACGAAACTAGAGCTTTTATTTTCATTCATTTGATGGCATGCCCTCGTGGCTTGCATCGTGTCAGCTGTTAGACTACACGCTTACTCAAAGCTTCTGATTTATCTACTGTTGCTTTTCTGGTGTCACAGTACGACCAAGCATAGAGCTGCTCCAGGTCAGAGTCCATATCCCTCTGTGGTTGCTCATTCTAATCACTCTCACAATAATGGTTGGATTATAGCCATCCAAATGCTCGCCTTCATGAATGGTGCTTTTAGTTTTGGAGTAAATGTATAACTCTTATGCTCAATCTCTTTTATTGTTCCAGGTTCAGAGATGGTGGAGGCCCAGTGTCAGAGGTTCGAGGTGAGGAGTGCCGATGGTGAGAGGGTGTTGTTCTCAGCAGATGAAGAAGAGATCAGCATCGGGACGGAAAAACTTAAAGTCACAGGTAGAGTTTTGCAAGAAATACAATGGAAACTAGTGGTGATGCAACTACATATAATATTAATTAGGGATGACAGTATATCAGCATCAATGTCTGTATCGGCCGATATCGGTATCGGCCGATGTCAGTGATTGTTTAACATATTGGCCCAAAACGATCTCCTAACACATGGATTTTCTGCTTCCTGATCACGTGGCATGTGACGTACGTGGATGAAGATCAGCTTTAGAGCTGTGATGTGTAGTCTCACGGTGCGGGGGACTTGTTCCGACGCCCACCCAGTAAAAAATGCAAATGACCACTTTAGTTATCCATGGCAGCACTGCCGGTCTCATGTGTCTGGCACAGTCTTTGCAGGAAGTTCATCTGTTTGTCGGCTCAATCGAGTAAACCGAACCAAGCTGGATGTCTGAATGTTGGTGCCAACGTTTCCTCCGGGGTTCTTGGTTGGGTGCTGGTTCACCTCCTGGCTTGATGAACTAGTTTTCTATGTGATTTTTAAGAGCAGTATCATTTGAGGTTACCTCCACTTTCTTTAGATTTCATCTTTCTTCTGGTGTTGCTCAAATGTGAAACTGCACCAGTTTTAGTGTTGCTATGTAAAAATGTCTTTTGTCTGATTTGTTTTTTTACTTATAAGTAGAGAGAAGCACCAGCTTTTGTAACTCTTTAATGTTCTTCATCTTCAAAACAAAACTCAGGTTATTAATTGTTATATTTTTGTCATCACTATCATTATTTCAGAATCACAAAATATGTCAGAAATAAGTAGAATTACGTATAACCAAATGTGTTTTAGTATCAGTTGTGGAAGGAAAAAGATAAAATTCTTCAAAAAAACATAAACCATAAAAAATAAAATCATAATAATTTCTCCAACTTTAATCCATTCCATTGGTTTCGTCCAGTACATCATTTTTATAAACTTAGTTAGAAACTGAGATGGTTTAGCTGTTATTAGAGATGTAAGAAAATCTCTATATATGACAATATATCACAACATTTTTTCCTGCGATATTACATCGATATTCAATAGCCGTGTATTGAATTTTTGGAAGAATCGACATGCAAACATGTGTGTATTTTCTTTTCTTTTGGTGCAATTAAAATGCCGACCGCTAGTTGGCAGCAGTGTGCATTCAGTTTTGTTTCTACCAATGAAATGTAAATCCCTCTTTTATGGTTCAGATTCCTCACATGATACGTATCAGTTTGGACTGATTATTGAATTTTCCTACATTAATTTCTGTCTAAAAAAATTGCCAAAAAAGGATTGCAATACATTGTGATGCATCGCGTCGTGACACGTATCATATCGCCAGAATTTCACCAATACACATCCCTAGCTGTTATAATTGTAAAGTCCGCTTCTGTGTCTTTAATTTTATGCAAGGATTTGTTGCCATGTTTTTATTGATGACTATACAAAATTTACATATATATGAACCTTATAAATTCTACACTCAAGGTGAACTGCTGCTATACTCACACAGTGCTTTAGGCAATTTGGGAGCTTTGTCCATTAAAGGCACTCTGATGGAATGAGGGCAAACAGGTGACTGTTTCTGTCCTTTAGTGTGTGATGGAGGTAAGAAAACACAGTGTGACCTGTAGAAGAGTGAATGGTGACCCATATGCACTCATGTCTTTTTATATTTTAGGCATTTTTCATCCAAATTTCCTTTATACTTAATTCCTGTCAGTGAAACTAAATGCAGTTTAGTTTCTGTTCAGTGGTTTTGATTTAAAAATACTTCATGAGTGTTTGTGCAGAACCCAAATGCAAGCTGGGAAAAAGGCACCATATTGATGTAAGAGAGAGATCAGCAGCATTGTGTAAGGCCGGATCACACAATGAAACATTAAAAAGCCCACTTTAATTTTCATTATTGTTTTCCAGGAAACGGGGCTTTTAAGGACGTCCTTGAATCTTTCTAGAAAACAAATTTGGCATACGCTGTTTCAGTTCTGAACAACAACTCAGGCGCCTTGTTATCTATGGGCCTGCCAGTGAGTAACATTGCCTCATGCAATATTAAATTTGTAGCGGTGCTGAGCTTTCAATATACCCCGTAAAGTCTCAGCGAGAGCTGGTGCCAAGCATCTGTTCACAGCTGCAGAGGTAGCTACTGGACACAGGGGGCTAAGCACGTCATTATTTCAGAGCCTGTCTTTACAAATCAACAGGAAAATGAGCTTCAGAAAGGAGATCATGTAATCTGGGTTTCAATTTTCTATATAGTCAATATGTTTTTAGTGTTAATATTGTTATTTTGCTAATTAGATAAGATCGTCCTCCAGATTTAGAACTTTCCTGCATTAGCTGCCAAAAGGAAATAGACACGGAAATGTTCAGGTCAGAAAAAGCCACACAGATTTATAATGCACTGGAAAAATTGCATTAATTGACTCACCCATCACATTGGGCAGCAGTAGCGGAACAGGTTCAGCGGGTTGTCTAGTAATCGGAAGGTTGCAGTTTCGATCCCGGCTCCAGACAGAGAATTCTGATGTTGTGTCCTTCAGCATGACACTTAACCCACCTTGCCGGCTGGTGGTGGTCAGAGGGACCGGTGGCGCATGTGCTCGGCAGCCTCGCCTCTGTCAGTGTGCCCCAGGGCAGCTGTGGCTACATAGTAGCTCATCACCATCAGTGTGTGAGTGGATGAATGATACACTGTGGTGTAAAGCGCTTTGGTGTTTTAATCATAAAGGCGCTATACAAGTGTGGTCATTTATCATTTATGTTTGCTATGCCAGGGAAGGTTGTGTTGATTTAGCATCTAGGAGAGAGCAGAGTTCATCTCAGCTTGTAGAAGCTACCCATTAGCATTAGCAACTTCACAACATGGTGGAACACCTCCAGGCTTGTGAAGTTTGTGGAGATAAAACATTTTCTTTACCCAAGGGGAAAAAAAAGCAAACGAAAGTGGTGGACGAGTTGTGCTGCTTTTAGCCAATCATGAGGCGATACATTTGCTTATCGTGAATATTAAAGAGTAAGACTCTAGCCTCTTTTAGACAACAATGCTGCTAATTTGTCGTACTGCCGTGACAACATCAAGGAGCCTTAGGTCATTTATAAGTGGTCAGACCATGGCAGTAATGTGGCGCAATCGCGTCCTTTTTACAAAAGATTACACAGTGGCGGTACAAACAGGGTATGAGGGTGGTCTCTGCGCTACTGCGGATTTCCGTTTATCTTGGACATAATTTACCATACCATACATATAATTTGCTTTTTATTGCAATCAAACTTATTTCCCGTGTTTACTTTCATTTTTAATATAGTTTCCTGCCAGAGCTCGGCAGTAACACCCCACGTGACCATGGTGCCTCCCTCTGTTGTGCCGAGGCATAAAACGCATTCACAAGTGCGGCGTTGCGGTAATGTTACTACCAAGCGTGGCGGCATGAATGCTGCTAAATTCCCGCAACGCCATGCTGCCACGGTGCGTTCATACGACACAGCCTGGCGGCAGTATTACGCTGATTTTCCGGCATGGTGTGTCTTCTAAAAAGGGCTTCTAATTGCTGCCGTTTTTTGCCTACCACTCCTCCGACGATCTTCTAGATCCTGAAGTAAAAGTGCTTGAGCTTTTTCTCACAGAAAATGAATCACAGAGCATCCATTCATGCTAGAGACCACAGCACATTCACTGAAATAATGAGTGCATGCCCACTTTAAGACAGAACTTTAACAGGTTCTATGATGTAAGCAAAATCTGACATTTCAACACGTCTAATGAAACTACTACACCTCAACAACTCTAACTTCTGTGTTTGTTACTTTCTTCCACTTTTGCAGGCAGTGAAGGAGTGGTGTTCAGCCATTCTGTAGAGACTTCACATGTAAGGGCAGAACCTTTCCAAGATCTAAAGTAAGTACAATTAAACAATTAAATTATGTTTCAGCCTCATCTTGTGTGGGTGGAAAACACATTCAGCTTAGACAGATAATAGCCAGTTTTTTGGACAGGAAGCTAATGAGTTGTAATCAGCCCACGGCGGAAAGACATGTGGTGTTGACTGGCGGTCTGACAGTCCTGGCAGAAGATAACAAAAGCTGCAGCGTGCAAGAGCCGGACTGTCACCAAGTGTCCATCGAACATGTGTCATACAGACAAAGATGAGCAGAGCTGCTGTCCTGAATGTTAAAAATCCTTAACACCTGAATTCAACAGCTGAAGAAACACCTGATTCAAAAATGGGCAATGACATCATGAGGAGGTAATTTAACTATCTGAATCAGGAAAGTATCTTAAATATGCAGTAAATGAACCCTGCAGCCTGCATTTTGTAACACATTGATGTACCAGGTTACAGTAAGTAATGTGTTTATAGCATTCCAGTGATTTTCCTGAGCTGTGGAAAAAGTTTTAAGGTGCTGAACACTGAAAAATATTTTTGAATCTTATTTCTGATTATAATCGGTCACTGTGAGTTCGCCATGCAGGCTGGACATGAAAATGGTCTCCTACACCTATCTACTGCTTGTGATAGTAAATAGATGGTGAAACTCTTGGATTTGAAAATCCTGACAGATCTACGTCACACTGTCATTTATCATTCACGGACTCACCCATCTTAACTCACAACGGAGAAGGCTGTTTTTGGTTTAGTGTGCAGGAAACAGCCGTGAACATCTCGGCCAGTAGAAGCTAATCATTAGCATTACCAACATCACCACACAGCAGATCTCATTCATGCTTGGGTTATTTGTGGGGATAAAACATCAGGTTTGCAGAACAGTCAGTGGTAGTGTTGCGTTGCTGTTATCCGGTCCGAGGTGAGATATCAGGACAGTTATCGTGTCCAAATATCAAGAAAAGAGACCCAAAATCCTGCCGTCTGAAGCTCAGCTGTGATGTGGCTCACTACTAGCTTCTGGAAATGCTTCACTGGCATCCGTTCCCCCCCCCCCCCCCCCCCACACACACACACACACACACAGTACGACTCAACCCTTTAAGCCCTAGTCCTATTTTGAAGCCTATTGGAAATAATGTCACAGGGTCCCCCACCTGGGCATTCATTCATACTAAAGAGCCCAGCAAATGTATTGATAAAATGAGTGTTCCACACCTTTATAAAGCTTTCAAAAAGTGGATCCAGCTTCATGTGTCTGGTTAGTTACTAATGCATACATCAAACCTATATAGAGTTGTTTAGGACACTCAAGGATGCTTGCATGCACTCTCACATTCACACGCTGCCAGTGACGGTAAGCTACTATGTAGCCACAGCCACCCTGGAGTGGTTTGACAGAGGCGAGGCTGCCATTTGGCGCCGTTGGCCCCTCTGACCACCACCAACTCAGGCAAGTTAGGTGAAGTGTCTTGCCCAAGGACACAACAGTGTAAAACCGCTGGTGAGAGCTGAAATAAAACCCATGACCCTTGACCCATGAGGCAACCCACTCTACCACCTGAGCAACTGCTGCCCCTTGTACGAAGTGTACATATTTTAGCTCTGTCAATGTGGATCTTAAATTAAATCAAATAGTAATGGTACTGTGATGGAATTCAATATATTGAAAAACCTCAAATTGTTATCTACTGTACCAATATAATATGGTATCGCGATCAAACTAGTGATTTTTACCCCTATAGAGTAAGTAGGCTGCTGGTCTTTTATAAATGCTTGATAGGTTTATTTGTGAGCAGACTACTGAATAGTAGAGAAAGCACAGGTGTAATAACAAAGGATAAATTTCACTGCAGCTTTATGGACTGATATGTTAATAAAAACTGCTAATGAGCAAAAGTGCTACATGAAATGAAGCCTTTATTGATACAGCTATGCTCTTTCCACTCTTGTTAGTCAAAAGGCATCCTTCCAAAATGCCCATGTACAATCAAACAAATGAATAAAAAGCATCTCAGAGAAGCTGATGTAAGAAAATGTGAAAACAAGCCACATTTTATTGTTCACAACAATATAAACGATAGGCTAGGACCTTTATTCATGTGATCTTTATTGCAGCAGGAGGGACGAGCAGACACACAGCATTCTTCTTGTAACCCTCAGCAGAACTTCCTCTGAACTCTACACTACACCTCTATATTTATTAGCAGTGCTCTGCTGCCACCTAGTGTTCAGTTCAGTACACGGCATTTACTATGTTTCGTCTCCATTCAAACAGTAACACTTATCAGAATCAGAATCAGAAAAGGTTTATTGCCATTGTCAGTGAACAAGCAGTTGACAAACTAGGAACTTGCTTCGGTACTAATGTGCTACATATAACATGAATAATAAATTTCAAAAATAGAATAAGTAGAATAAAATATAATAAAACTAGCATAAAACAATCAGCTATAAAAAAAGGCAGGTAATGGTAATATGGCCGATAACGTGACGTTATGTCAAGTACAGCAGACGAACATGGTTGTGTATTTATAAGCTGTTCACAAGTCTAACGGCAGATGGAAAGAAGCTGTTCTTATGGCAGGAGGTTCTGGTCTGGATGGACCGTAACCTCCTGCCTGAGGGAAGCGGCTCGAAAAGTCTGTGTCCCGGGTGAGAAGGGTCAGCTGCTATCCGGCCTGCACGCCCCCGAGTTCTGGAGACGTACAGGTCCTGGAGAGATGGAAGGCTGCAGCCAATCACCTTCTCAGCGGAACGCACAATGCGTTGCAGTCTATTTTTATCCCTAACTGTGGCTCCAGCGTACCACACAGTGATGGAGGAGGTGAGGATGGACTCAATGATGGCCGTGTAAAACTGCACCATCATCTGGGCCGGCAGCTTGGCCTTTTTCAACTGCTGCAGAAAGTACATCCTTTGCCGGGCCTTTTTGAGCAGGGAGCTGATGGATGGTTCCCACCTAAGGTCATGTGTGATGGTGGTTCCGAGGAAGCGGAAGGAGTCCACAGTGGTGACGGGGGTGTCCGTCAGGATGAGGGGGAGAGATGGGGCTGTGACTTTCCTAAAGTCCACAATCATCTCCACTGTCTTCTGAGCATTGAGCTCCAGATTGTTGCAACTGCACCAGTACACCAGCCGTTCCACCTCCCTCCTGTGGGCGGACTCATCACCGTCAGAGATGAGCCCGATGAGGGTGGTGTCGTCCGCAAACTTGATCAGTTTAACGGAGTCATGGCTCGAGGTGCAGCAGTTTGTATACAGGGAGAAGAGCAGAGGAGAAAGTACACAGCCCTGTGGAGATCCTATGCTGATTGTCTGAATGGTGGAAACATTCTTCCCCAGCCGCACGCACTGCCTTCGGTCCGTCAGGAAGTCAGTGATCCACCTGCAGGTTGAATTGGGTACGTTGAGCATGGAGAGCTTGTCCTGGAGCAGAGCAGGGAGGATGGTGTTGAATGCAGAGCTGAAGTCCACAAACAGGATCCTAGCGTAGGTTCCCGGGGAGTCCAGGTGCTGCAGGAGGAAGTGGAGGGCCAGATTGATGGCGTCGTCTACAGACCTATTAGCTCTGTATGCGAACTGCAGAGGGTCCAGGAGGGGGGTGGGGGGTGGGGGGGTGAAGGACTTGAGATGAGGGAGGACCAGGTGCTCAAAAGACTTCATGACTACAGACATCAGCGCCACAGGCCTGTAATCATTCAGTCCACTGACAAGGGGTTTCTTTGGGACAGGGACAATGGCGGACAGCTTAAAGCAGGCTGGAACGTGGCAGGACTCCAAGGAGATGGTAAAGATGTCCGTGAAGATTGGAGACAGTTCCTCTGCGCAGTGTCTCCGGGTTGCGGGGGAGACACCGTCCGGGCCCGGGGATTTCCGTGTGTTTTGCTTACGGAAAACCCTAAGCACATCCTCTTTTGTCACTGAGAAGGCAGTGGAGGAGGAGGGGTGGTTAGTGGCGACTGTACTATTCACAGTGGTGAAGGTGGTGGGGGAGGCATGTAACACCAGAGTGGCTGAAGAAACCTGTGCAGTAGGGGGTGTGGGGGATGGGTGTTGCATTTCAAACCTTGCATTAAAGGAGTGAAGTTGTTCATCCAGTTGTAGATCGTCAGCAGCATGTTCGGCTAATACTTACTCATCCCATCAGGCCCCACAGTGGTCACCTTTATTACAAGACCAAAATAATTGAATATACCTTGTGGTTACAGCAAAATACTCATTCAAATGTGGCATCTGTGTCTCACTAACATTATTTGTGATAAAAAAATTGCTTGGGTGCAAATTGTCTTGAATGATTAAAATATGATTAATCGAGATTAATTGATTACAATGCTTCTAATTATTTAGATTGTTTCTAATCGAGTCCCACTCTTAGTTTTTTGTGCAGTAGAGCGATACCAGCTTAAAGCGTACCAAAACAGGATTGTGAAAAATCCCCATATGAATGGGATTTTATTTGTTGTTTATTTTATTTATACATATATGCCAAAAACAACAGATTTCATTTTTTATTTGAAAATATAATAAATGAGGCAGAGCAACAAAACAAAACCCCAAAGAGGTTTGAATGCTTTCAATCTAATTTCATCCCTTAACAATATACTGCAAACAGACTTGTTACAAAGACTGCCTGAATAAATAAACAAATGCTTAAAAATTGCATTTCAGGATTTTCTTCTATTCTTCTTTCCTCCAAGACAAACACTTTAATCTCTTCCCCTAAAAGTGTAATTGAGTTGCATTTGAGGTTGATATAGTCTTTCTTGACTACGATCTGGTGTTGAGTCATAACGAGTAGTGATTTCTGATGTGTCCATGAATAAGTGTTGGAACACCTAAAACCCCCCTGAAGCTGCCAGAACGAGACGCCGATTTCTCTGAAATTGCAAGCAGACCCAGTTTATTTTGTTGGCTAACCTCATTTGAACTTTGAGAGGATTAAGATAACATGGCTTCCAGCAAGAACGCAAACATGTTAGGCAGAAGATGGAGGTAGAAGAAAACTACAGAA